TCCAGTGATATAATTTATTGCTGTACAAATTGTTCAAAGCTTCAGGTAACATAAATGTATGAAGTCTGAGTGGCACTTATAACCATGGTGACATTTTCGACAGTGAAATCAACACAATGTGATAAGATACATGGGATCACAGAAGATCACAGGTGGTCACATGGGATTACAGAAGATCACAGGTGATCACAGAAGATCACAGGTGATCACAGAAGATCACAGGTGGTCACATGGGATCACCGATCAGATCACACAGAATCAAAGAGGATCACAGGTGGTTACACAGAAGCACCATGGATCATATTTGGTCACAGGTGGTCAAACGCAGGATCACAGAGGATCATACTGAATCACTGTGGACCACAGGGATTATGGAGCGTGACATGAAAACTGTTAAGAAGAAGCAGTCCTTTTAACATTCATGTAGTAAAGTCCATTATTCAAGATTCCCAGTTGCATGCTCTACATTTCAAGAAGTTTTAGGATCAGTTTAAGAAAGACACTCATCCTCAAGTTGGTCCAGATCAATATAACCTGGTTCTCCAGACACTTTAGTTTTCAAAAAACTTGATAAAAAGTAACTGAAACTTGTTGCAAAAATATATACATTCCTTCAATCATGTATTAAGTGTAGATATACTTATAACAATGGTGACATCAAGTGCTTTTCTGGCCAGTCATAAAATGTCTATTTCTGCCCTTGGAACTTTACCAACATAAGAATACTTTTGATCCCTTTTTTAACCTAGAATAGTGTCAGCTAGAAAATATCCAGGTACGGATTGACCCTTTCAGAAGCCCACAGTGTACAGAACGTCAAATGTATACATGCTTATAACTTGTCATGTGTTTGCCCCTCTGCTTGTGTGGAAGTACGTAGAGGATATTATATGAGTGTCCATGTCACATCGGGATATACCGATATTTAGGCACCAGTGTGCGTAAACATAGTATGGTATGGAGCACGAATATAATGATTTATTTATTACGAAGTCATCAAATTGAGGAAAATAAACCCAAATCTACTCAAGCATAGGCTGGCTACCCGCCGTTGCTGCATGTAGAACGCAGCGTCATAGAAGTAACGTGACGTCATAGCATTGTTCATGACATCACGTCACCATTTCAAAGTGATATATTGCCAAAGGGCATCGTATGAAAAATATGAACCTCGATATTTTCGCCCTTGGTAATAAAGTGTATTACCAACTTCTGATGATACACACGTCACAAGGTATTTTGTTAAATGATACGAGTTAAAAAATGTAGCCTCAATGAACTTGTGAGAAGCACCAAGTGGAACATGCCATTGTGACTGCAGCACAGGGAATTGTGAACACTGAACCTGAGTCAGCATTAACTGATAGCCAGTGGAACATGCCATTGTGACTGTAGCACAGGGAATTGTGAACACTGAACCTGAGTCAGCATTAACTGATAGCCAGTGGAACATGCCATTGTGACTGTAACGCAGCACAGCGTGAATTGTGAACACTGAACCTGAGTCAGCATTAACTGATAGCCAGTGGAACATGCCATTGTGACTGCAGCACAGGGAATTGTGAACACTGAACCTGAGTCAGCATTAACTGATAGCCAGTGGAACATGCCATTGTGACTGTAGCACAGGGAATTGTGAACACTGAACCTGAGTCAGCATTAACTGATAGCCAGTGGAACATGCCATTGTGACTGCAGCACAGGGAATTGTGAACACTGAACCTGAGTCAGCATTAACTGATAGCCAGTGGAACATGCCATTGTGACTGCAGCATTGCGGGGAATTGTGAACACTGAACCTGAGTCAGCATTAACTGATAGCCAGTGGAACATGCCATTGTGACTGCAGCACAGGGAATTGTGAACACTGAACCTGAGTCAGCATTAACTGATAGCCAGTGGAACATGCCATTGTGACTGTAGCACAGGAATTGTGAACACTGAACCTGAGTCAGCATTAACTGATAGCCAGTGGAACATGCCATTGTGACTGCAGCACAGGGAATTGTGAACACTGAACCCGAGTCAGCATTAACTGATAGCCAGTGGAACATGCCATTGTGACTGCAGCACAGGGAATTGTGAACACCTGAACCTGAGTCAGCATTAACTGATAGCCAGTGGAACATGCCATTGTGACTGCAGCACAGGGAATTGTGAACACTGAACCTGAGTCAGCATTAACTGATAGCCAGTGGAACATGCCATTGTGACTGTAGCACAGGGAATTGTGAACACTGAACCTGAGTCAGCATTAACTGATAGCCAGTGGAACATGCCATTGTGACTGCAGCACAGGGAATTGTGAACACTGAACCTGAGTCAGCATTAACTGATAGCCAGTGGAACATGCCATTGTGACCGCAGCACAGGAATTGTGAACACTGAACCCGAGTCAGCATTAACTGATAGCCAGTGGAACATGCCATTGTGACTGTAGCACAGGGAATTGTGAACACTGAACCTGAGTCAGCATTAACTGATAGCCAGTGGAACATGCCATTGTGACTGTAGCACAGGGAATTGTGAACACTGAACCTGAGTCAGCATTAACTGATAGCCAGGAACATGCCATTGTGACTGCAGCACAGGAATTGTGAACACTGAACCTGAGTCAGCATTAACTGATAGCCAGTGGAACATGCCATTGTGACTGCAGCACATGGAATTGTGAACACTGAACCTGAGTCAGCATTAACTGATAGCCAGTGGAACATGCCATTGTGACTGCAGCACAGGGAATTGTGAACACTGAACCTGAGTCAGCATTAACTGATAGCCAGTGGAACATGCCATTGTGACTGCAGCACATGGAATTGTGAACACTGAACCTGAGTCAGCATTAACTGATAGCCAGTGGAACATGCCATTGTGACTGTAGCACAGGGAATTGTGAACACTGAACCTGAGTCAGCATTAACTGATAGCCAGTGGAACATGCCATTGTGACTGCAGCACAGGGAATTGTGAACACTGAACCTGAGTCAGCATTAACTGATAGCCACAGGACATTACAAGCTCCATGCATTGTGGACACACGTTCATATCAAACACCAAGACAATATTTACACCAGGCATAGGAACTCTATAAATATTTGAAACACTTCTTCAAAATATTACAGAATAACTTGTTAACAAGAATGAAAAATATATTCTAATTTACACCATCTTTTCACAGAAGAATTAACTATGCATTAAAGCTTCTGTGTAACAGAATAATCACTAATACACAACTGACTTGATTTGCCAGCAGTGTGATATATATTAACTACTCTCCTACAAGCAACAGAATTAGTGTGAATGGAGGTGACAGTGTAAGTGTGTTGAAGGATGACGGATACAGATTATGATGTGGACTATGACATTATCACAGCTGAGTGAAGGCACTGACAATGGACCAATCAACTTCATTGTCTAAAGGGTGAGTGAGTGAGTGTGTTGGGTCAGCTGGAAGCAGTGAACCAATCAAAGTTCTGGAGACTGATACAACTGCTGATTGGTCAGTATGTAACTTCACCATATTGCAGCTGTCAGCTAAGGTGTATTATAAACTTTGAAAATAACAAACTTTGAAAGTTGATATATTCATACTTGTTAATATATTCAACCAAAACATACATTTCATAAAAGAAAACAGAAGTCTTCAGTGAGGCAGACAGCATTTTGAAGAATGTTTTGCATAAATTTTACAAACATACATTGGTGCCATACATCTGAACCATTAATGCCCATCCTGTGAAATATTATTTGACTGGCTATATGTGTAGGAATTCTTTGGCTGTAACCACAAAAACAAAACATTCGGCAAAGTAAAGCTTTATACGTGTATTTGGCTTTAGTGATTAGACCATTGCTACTGTGTATAGCTGAATACCAAAGTCAGGGAAACTTTATGTTTATGGAGCAAATTAGAACAAAGAATTGAAATGATTATGTCATTATGCGATTTAGTAACCACACCAGTGGTAGAAGAAAAAAATAAAATGAATATTATTTAAATACCTCCTTCCGTACGATTTCAAAGTCAGTTCTGTTAAACTATTTAAATAAATGTATAGAGTGGTTTAAACATTCAACACCATCTCAATTATAAAAATACAACACCAGAATACCTCAGAACAAAGCGTCAGGTTAAATTCAGTTATTGACAAGCAAAGTTCAAATGGAAAATGTTACTTGAAAAACGGAAAATAGATATGACACATCAGCTTGCATCCCTTATGGGATTCTGTGATATACTTTCCGATTCAGGACCAAATATCGACCAGCTTATCGTTCTTCAGCATTAAATCTTCAAAAGACACATTACAGAGTTACAGCGATGGCATCTATGTGCTATACGGTACAAAACGTGGGAGCGGAATCTCTCGCATGTGTTCCGTGTGTAACACTAAGCCGAATCGTGCTAAACAAATGCGAACACGTGTCCAAGCTCTGTTTGCGGAAGCCCAAAACAAGGGAGGTAATCACCGCCAGATGGTGCGTGACCTCTGAGTCCAACTGTTTTCAGACCAAGCAGGAATCTGAGCAGGACGAGCCCTAATGGCAAGAACGCTATAACGCAGTATGGCGTGACTCGGCATGAGGACAAACTGCTCATTGAGTTTACCTTCCACCTCTGACCTTCTGACCATGGCACAAGCTTGGACGTTGCTGCCATTGCTCTCGGCAGGAGGCTGAAGATAAATGGTCTCCTTTGACAAGATAATGTATTGTTTATTGCAGACTCTTAAACATTTGAGCAGAAACTCACGCACAGTATACAATGTAAATTGGATGTTGTTACACTTTTGCCATTAATCTTGATTACCGGTATGATGTATTGCGTGGGTTCCTGCTTAGGGAACGTTAGCTGTGATACCAGAAGGTGTTCTTAGGGAAGATATGACGAGTGGGACAGATGATTTGGATTTGTCTTTAGTCACGAGGGAAGATAAAAGACGATAATCACTGCAGGTCAGGAGTTTTTTAAAGATGGTGGAAATACATCAACTCTACGTACGTTGTACTCCGCTACGTGCTTTTAATTGGTGCCGAGTAATTTCAAATGATCATGCGTCTTTTGATTTGAAACAGTATGGTATAACATCATGATATTTCAGATATACTTCCCACCAAAAGTTTAGACTCACTTAAAACACTCACTATATGTTATCTATCTATATATATGGTTACATCGAAGATTGATTTCTCCACTAATTTGGGGGAACCAAATGCAAACCTTATGCAGATGAATTGCACGAGGATCATGCATCAAATTGCTGAAAAGCATGTGCAAATATCGTACATGTGAACAGTTTTGTTAAGAATTCGCCATTATTTACTGATTTTTATCATGACAATAATCTTTTCAACGTTACGAATTTGTTTTACAATACATCAGTTCTCGTGTAAACAGTACCTTTAAACAATATGGGATATTTTGCAAACTTTAGTTTAGAACCGTTGCCAGAAGTAAGTGGTTATATTTACACTAGTAAGAGTCTAAACTTTTGATGGGAAGTATATTTTGAAAAGAGATCATGTTTGTACCATGATAACCATCCTCCACATGTAACATTTGTTATATTTGGGATTACACTTTCTTAGTAAAATACAGATTCTAGTACTTTTGTTGGATGCCTGACTCTGACGGTGTGGGTTCGAATCCCGGATGGGACTCAACCCAACAAAAGTACTAGAATCTGTACTTTCCTAAGAAAGTGTAATCCCAAAATAATAATAATAATAGCATATTTGTAACGCGCATATATCCATGCTTATGCATGCTCAAAGCGCACAAATACAAATGCAAGTAAGGCAAAGAGCTACAGTTCAAAGGCTATCTTGAACATGTGTGGTTTTAGATTGGATTTAAAGGTATGAAAGTCAGAACAGTCTCTTTACATGTTACATTTGACCACTTTCTAAATGGCATTGTGAACTCATCCTGTCACATGCCCCGTATTTATCGGTCACATAAACTGCCAGAATGCTTGATGTTGGCTAAATATGAAACAAACAATTATTTTATGATGATGTATTTTGCATGTGTATGATTGTTGTATTTCTGACTGCATTTTTTTCACCTATTAAAGCGTTGAAACTTTGTGACTTTTGACAGCTCATTTTAGGACCGTAGACATCTGATACCACAATCGGAGAGTACTACAGGCCTTTTCATGAGCCCAAGACATCATACTAACTGAAAATAGTGTCAAACAAAATCAGTACTGGGGAGGCTACGAAATCCTATTTCTAGGCCTCTTTTGAGAGTCTCCTCCTGGACTATAATGAGCC